GTGTGTGTGTGTGTGTGTGTGTGTGTGTGTGTGTGTGTGTGTGTGTGCGCTCGTCCACGTGAGTGACTGACATTCTCGTTAGCTCTGTATCAATGGGTCATAGAGGCTAACAGTCGCTGGCGGCTGAGGAGACAGACTAATTACCAGCAGGTTATTGGTTCAACTCCCGTAAGACCCATTCATGTGTCTGTGAGAGTGTGGCCACGTGTGTTTTGCTGGACGGGTCATGAAGGTAGCTGCTCTAACATTTCTCTAATTTCATCCATTAATTAATATCATTATGTCAGCTCAGAAATGGAAACGTTTTTGTTTCTTGTTGCTGTCTTCGTGATTCATTCACCTCTGTCCTGACTTAATTTGCTTCTCCCAATGACAACTTACTATTTAAGCCTCTTTTCTGATGTTGCTCTTTTGTTCTTGATTCTTACCTACTATAATATTGAATGTCAAACAGTACAAGCGAAAACATAAACATGCTAAACATCTGTGACTTTCTATTGTCTGAAAACAGTAAAATAAGTTTGCTCCCTCTCAAAGGACAAGGCTTGGACAGCATATTCACACATCTGTGATTGCTTAGAAATAATTAATAACCTCATGAATATGACATGCAGCCAGACTGCAGCACAAGACATAATCTCTTTTATCATGGCTTCACTGTTGATTTATTTTTTGGGTTCTTCAATGATGACCGTAAATATCCCCAGTTCAGTACCTGCAACCTTAACAAAAAGAAAAACTTGAGTTCTTCCTTTTCCCTATCCTCCTTCAAACCAACAATACTTTGAGAGAATTGTGATACTCTTAAATTGGTATAATCAAATATTTGAATTTTCTTTATTGCTTTCATGAATATATCTGTGTTGCGTTCCTTGTTAATAACATGGCAGGGAAGCACAAATATCTGCAGGGGATCAGCACATGTCTGGAAAATTTATTTTTAATAGATGCAGTAAGACATATTTGTTGTGATGCAACGCATGTAAAGAAAAGGAAATTGCCAACCACAGCCATATGTAAAACATATCAAGCACTGGAAGTGACCGGGGATAAAACCTAAGGACTTGCCAGGGTGGAGAAGCCGCACGGGTCGGGCGGCAGCGGGCGGCTGCCTGGCTCCAGTAGAGAGCTGGCAGGGGGCGAAGATGCCGTAGGCTGTTTGAAACAAAATCATTACATTTGCATATTTTTAACAGAAATCCATCCATCCATCCATTTTCTTTACCCGCTTCTTCCATTTTGGGTCACAGGGGTCTCCGGTGCCCATATCCAGCTATCACTGTGCGAGGGGCAGGGTACACCCTGGACGGGTCGCAAGTCCATCATAGGACCACATAGAGACAAACGAGACAAACAACCACCCACTCTCTCACTCACACCTAGCAACAATTTAGAGTTACCAATCAGCCTAACATGCATGTTTTTGGTCTGTGGGAGGAAAACGGAGTACCCAGAGAAAACCCACGCATGCACGGAGAGACCATGCAAACTCCACCCAGAAAGACCCCTTGACTGGGATTTGAACCGGCAACGTTCTCGCTGAGAAGCAGCATTTCTACCAGTTGTGCCACTGTGCTGCCCCAACAGGAATCCTCCTAACAAGAAAACTAAATCTGTAAGAAATGGTTTCAGACATGTTTTTAAGTCACAGTAGCATAGTTATTATAATTCCTGACAGGACATTTTGTTCTAATGTGGATATTAAAGGTCTTTCTGATGTTATTGAAGTGGATTTATACCATTTTCATTTTTTGATCATAAATATGAAGATATTATGAGTTCCAACTTACATAAGCTTTGACAAATGACAGAAACCAGAATATAGGTCTTATTCAAGTACAGTAGTCCCTTGATACTTCGCGGTTCGACTTTTCCGGACTCACCTTTGCGCGAGTTTTCAACATAAAATTGTACAAATTGTTTTCCAGTGGGCTGGCCGTTCAGTGATTGCTTAGGGGCTGGGGTGGGGTCTATCTTTCCCCTTCGCTGCTGTGGGAGCTTCAGTGAGGCGGATACCAGAGTGAGCAGCTTGGATTGTTTATTTAAAATAATCAAGCACGACCCGACCTGAGCCTTAACCTGAACCAAGTAGTGCTCCCAATGGCTAGTCTGCCCACGGGTGCTGATTGGCTCAGTAACTGTAGCATGTAGGGGCAGGGCAGCCGACTCGAGACCCGAAGGTCTTGGGTTCTATCCTCGGTCATTGCACATCTTGTGGTGTCTCTGAGCAGGGCACCTTATTCCCAGTTGCTCCCCAGCGCTTTCCATAGCTGTCCACTACTCCACCTGGTGGTGAATGGGTTAAAAGCAGTGAGCCAATTTCGCCATTGTATGGGAACATACAATGATGACAATACGTCACACATTATTATTATTATTATCAGTCTATCTGCTCTCTTTTTCTGTGCTCTTTTACAGCATTTAGAGAGTTTAGAACATTGTTAAGAACATTGCAAGATTGTGGGGTGGGTTTATAAAGCCTTAAAATATATATAAATACTAAAATAATTATAATGTCTCTTTGCAGATTTTCACCTATTGCAGGGGTGTCTGGAACGTATCCTCACAATAAGTGAGGGACTACTTTATATCAGAGAATGAGATCCTGCCAGCAGATCCACAATGCTGTAATTATATTACACTATATCTTGTTTGCCTGATATGAATATAAAGTGTAAAAAAAAAAGTGTGATATTATGAGATACGAGGTTGTGGAAAAAAAAAAAAAATACAACTTGGCTGTCCAAATAGATTTTTTTTTTTTTTTTTTTTTATCCACTGGTAACTTTTACAGCAAAGAAACTCTTCATCCAAGTATTTGTAGTTATTTTTCAGGTTTAAAATATAATCTCATTGTTGATGTCTTGTTTTTATTTTGGATTCAAGTAGATACAATCTGGAGTTTTTTTGCAATACATTTTTTAAGAAACCAAACAAACATGAATGCTTCACCCCAGCCTGTGTCGATAAGAAGTATCAGTAACTCGGTATAATAAATTCCAGACAAATTTGTTTTATGGTTTCACTTCTAGTTTGAATAAATTGCTATTCGTGCTGTTTTTGAGTGAGCTTTTCATACTTATATGTGGTCAGACAGATATTAAAAGTTACTTGCTTAGTATTTAGTACAAGTTTTGCAAACTTGATGCTGGTGTTGGCTGCCCATGTCTCTTACAAACTTGAAACATGATGCACCAAAATAAGTGTGCTTCTATTTGTACAATGTCCTGATGCATGCTCAATAGTCCAAATACATTGTCGTCCTTCATGTATCTGGATGATTATCTCTACTTCCCTGCTATTATCGCTATTTTGCTGCTGTAATGAATGGTGCTCTTGAAAGATGCGGTGGATGTGTCCAGCTTAATGTGTGGCCAGATAAGAGTGTATTTGACCTCTCCCGATTTAGAGCAAAGTCCTTAACTATATCCTCTATGCTGACGACGTATCTTAATGGTAGACAACATGGGAGCTTTACAGAGCTATCTCAATGCCTTACAGGGATCGTGTCACAAGTTTGGATTAGTTATGAGTCACCAAGACCCAGATACTTAAACAGCCGCCAAGAGACTGTGATCCTGACGCTAATACACTGACCATTGATGGGATAAACCTGGAAAAAGTCACCAACTTCCGTTAACTGGGCTGCCAGATAAGAAAAGACAACCGTCTTGCGTCCGAAATCCCAGCCTGTATAGCGAGAACTGCTGCCACCTTTGGTGAGTTAAATCAGTATGTGTGGAAATCTCACAACATCACACTGAAGATGAAGCTCGCAGTTTACTGTGCCATAGTGCTCTCGATCCTTTTATATGCCTCTGAAACCTGGTGCCTGTATAAAGGTGAGATTAGGAGGCTGGATGTGTCTCACATAAAATGCCTACGTTCCATCTTGTGCATCAAATGGCAGAATTGTGTCACAAATGCCGATGTTCTTCGTCACTCAAATACTCATGGCATGGAGGCCCTACTGATCAGAGGACAACTGCGATGGTGCGGCCACGTCCATCAAATGGAAGACTGCAGACTACCAAAGAGCATATTCTACTCGAGTTTTTAAGTGGGAAGCGCAACTCTGGTGGGCAGTACCTTTGCTATAAGGACATCTTCAAACGTAATCTGACTGCATGTAGTTTGCCCACCAAAGAGTGGGAGGAGGCTGCTCACAGAAGATCAATTTGGCATTCAAAGGTCAAGAAAGGCGTCTCAAACTTTGAAAACTCTTGCTTTTCCGAGTTAGACCTTAAATGACAAATTCGCAAAAACTGACCTAAACCCTCCAACAACTACACCTACAACAGTGCGGGCCAGCTATACTGCACAACTTGTGACCGAATATGGAAAACAAAGTTTGGATTTGCCATCTACATATGACCACATGCCAGAAGCTAGCCAGGCTCGTCATCGTTGGACACGACGCGGACAACATCTTTAATCTAGACAGATGAATCTAACAAGGTTGAGTCAGGTCCTCTGGACGGGTTCTTTTTTGTTGAAACGTTCCGTCTTTTATCCAAAAGATTTCTTTGAAAAATGATAATATATATAAATTAATGAACTGAAATAATAATAGTAATAAACACATATTTTGTTTGAATAATGTTTTGTTGTTGTTGTTTGTTTCATTCAGCGAGCTGCCACATTCTCCTCGCTCCCTGACGGCTCGCCTCAATGATTCAGACTCTCGCTCTGTCCACCTGTCCTGGCTACGCCCCTTTGATGGGAACTCCCCTCTTCTGTATTATGGGTTGGAGCTCTCTGAGAACAGTACGTATGTGTCCTTTATAGCTCTTAGAGGCAAAGCAGCTGCTTACTTCCTGTCCACCTGCATTCATTTGTAAAATACAGAGCACATGTGAGAATACAGTGTTAGCATTAATTGCGTGTTTCTGATGCATTCTAATTTTCCAGCCTTTCTTTAGCTTGTCTGCCTTTTCGTTTTAAATTTCAGCCTCTCTCCACCACAGATGTTATAACAGCAGGCTGGCTCTCTGTCAAAAAAGGAAAGGAGCAGGAGAGAGGGGGAGAGGAACTGAGGAATAGAATGACAGTAGAAACAGATGGGTAGGAGATGGCTGCAAGCTAATGGGGGACAGTTTGGCGAGCTTTACCTGCACATCCAGGCATTAGGTGCATCAGTGCAGAGTCTGGACCAACAAATAAATGTTAACCGTTAATCTTTCCACTGACTGGCTTTTAGAGAGATACACCTGAGCTGCAGTCATTCAACAGCAGCTCTGTTGAAAGTACACAAATAAACCAAGATTATGATTAAGAAGAAGTACAATCGTGGAAGAGGAGGGAGAGAGAAAATGTGACAATAGCTGGGAGAGATGGGGGGAAAAAAATGAGGATAAAGCGAGAGCCTAATTGACTGGTCGATTTCATTGAAGGATGAACCCAGACAAGTGAGGAATGGACTGGAGTTTTTGAACACTGATTAGATTGTTTTTTTCTTTATTCTGCTTTAGAGAGACTGTCACACTGTAAATACAAGGTGTTTTCATATCAGACAATGACTCTAATACACTGGGCTTGTATACTATCATTCTCACTTACACAGATACACATGTGGTGATGCGATAATAGGGATATTAGTGCATCCGCTGTGGTATATTCAGCAAAAGATAAGCTGGCAACAATATACAGCAGCATTTCCTCTTCCTAACTAATCCTCCTCCTTTTAAAAAAAAGTATTCTTATTGCATCCTACACGACTTTTATTTTTCACCCGCACTCACTTGAGTCTTATTTTCCTACCAATTTTATCTATTCCCTCCATTGTACCTTTTGATTAATAGGTCCAGAGTGTTTCTGTGTGCCTGTTTGTCCTGCCTCAGCCAGATTATTATCAACCTCTAATCTCCATGTCTTGTGTCTAGACTCTCCATGGAAGGTCTACCTGTCCGAGGTTGAGCCTTTCATGACCGAGGTGTCGGTGGGTGGGCTCACACCTGCCAGAACCTACCAGTTCCGACTATGTGCTGTCAATCAGGTGGGCAGGGGTCAGTACAGTGCCGAAACACAGAGGTAAGAGAAAAGAATGCTAATTTACAGAAAACTGATAAGTCTAGATGTTTTCCCCAATTAAATGTTTTCATTGTTATTCATGTTATTTAATTTAAAAAACAATACATAACAAAAAAAAATATTTTCATTAATTAACCCCCACCCTCCAGCACATTGTTCATCACACCGCTACTCACAATTCACATTCACAATCATACACATTCACACAGACCCTCCAGAACTAACTAAATAATATTTTTCAGCCATTCAAGCTGCCAAGGTTGAGATAGTCCTGAGATGTGCATCATTAATTTATGCAGAGGATAATTCTGTGTAGGCATTCCAAAGAAAACTCTGTAGCCAACGGATGGATAATGAGATGTCATGAGGAGGGTTCCACTTCTGAGCTACAGTCTTCTTAGCAGTAGTTTGATATGCTAGCCATACTTTGCAAGAGGTTCCTGTAAACTTAACATTGGAGCCAATATTCTAAAAATGGACCATAAGGCCCTCTGATAGTTGAATATTTATCAGTTCTCTCAGAGTCTTGATGGTATTCATCTAAAAGTCATGAATCCCTAGACATTCCCATACAACATGCATAAAAGACCCTTAGTCAGGCCCCCAAGGGCAGAATGAGCAAAAAAGGTCAGACGAGCAAGCTACACATCTTATTCTTGGTGTAGGCTAAGCTCTGTAGGCACAATTTAAAAGTAGATATTGATAATCCCCCCCCCTTTTTTTTGAAGCCCCAATAAATTTTACTAGTGTCCCAATTCACTGACTTTTCTACATTAGAAAACTCTCTGCCACAAGTCCTTGGATGAGGAGCGAAATGTCTTCTGTTACAAATAAAGTCCAGTTGTTTTTGTATTGAATGCTTTTTGAATTCATCATGTCCTGGATGACTGAGAATCTTCACCAGCTCTCTGCCACAAGCTTTTCTCCTAATGCAGGTGAAGATATTTGGCAATGCAACTTCATAAACGCACAGTCTAGTTGTATCTAAGTTTGTAAGTATATGTGTTATGGAGAGTCTGTTGTCATGAGCAGAAACATGAGATTTGTTATGGGAGAGAAAATCTAGATAAACTATGGATTTTAACATGTTGAAAATAACAAGCATCCACTTTCTGTTTTTAAATTATTAGTTTATATTTTTCACATTAGCTCTGGTTTGTTTGTTTATCGGAGAATTCATAGAGGGTAGAGTAGACAAATAGATAACTGTGCAAATGTTTTATGCATATGTGCATGTTTACTTTTTAGTGTATGCCTGGGTGTGTGCGTTTGTGTCCCAGGAGGAAGCAGTAATGAGGGTAATTATAAAGCCAAGGCACTGATGGAGCTACATAAACTGTAGGCAGGTTAGCATATGTGTTGCAGGGTCTGTTAACCGTTCTGCTTTGATTACAAACGTCGACAAAAACTACAATACTCATACAACAGGTTTGGTTGTGCTGTACAAAGTCTGCACACACGTACAAACTCACACAGGGTGTTTTGTGACTGAAGACATGGATCACGGACAGATGCCAGTTGTAGTTCTGCCAGAGACACTCAGCAACAACAGTAGCTGTTAACACAGCCATCACACATTCACACACCTCAGATTATAGTCTGCTTTCTGTTTCCTACTTCTCAGCTTCTGTTCTTTTACTTCACTGAACAATGAAAATCCACTGAACTAATCCTCTCCTTCTGCTTTTTAAATATCATTACTCCTGTCGTTCCTTTTGCAATCTTTTTCATCTCCTGCATCTACTTGTTTGTGTTCAGCAGCTGCTCAGCTACCTAGTCCTCAGTCCAATGTTTGTTTGCCAGTGGCCCTAGAGAATAGATTGGATTGATCCTCTGTAAATGAAAGACTGGCAGACAGACAAGTCATCACTGGTCAGTGCATCAGAGCAGATGGATACCTCTGTTCTTCAGCATTTGCCTCATATGTACACATACACACACGTTCCTTTTTATCTGCTGGATGTTTCACTGGATAAGACGCATACACAATCTGCTACTGATGCCAAGACACATCCTGCAAATGACACTCGGGAAAAGTGAAGCAAAGCAAAATGTCCTGCAGAAGCTGTGAGAGCCACATAAGGAAGACGACAAAATGTAGTGATGTGGACAGCGTGAGGAAGCAGGACAGAAAGTGAAGCAAACACTTGTTGTATTAATAACAAAAAGCCCTTATTATTGTTTGAATATTTGGCTTCTTCTGCCCTGTCCCAATTTGTTATTTTCCCAAATTATTTTTTTCCTCCCAATCGTGACATTAGTTCTCCCACATAGCTTTCAGTAAATGAAGTCTACATGAAAGAATAGTAGTAGTACTCCTTGAGTAGATGTGTATTGCATTCTTCACGCCAGAGTTTTAAACTAAGGTATCTTACGTTGAGAAAGGATGTTATTGTAACTGTTTGGGAGCTTGAAAATAGCGTTATTTGTGATCTCTCATTCTATCATGACATTTCATGCAATCTGTTTGTGCTTGAAGTTTGTGTTGTGAATGCTTCTTAGCTGTAGCCACACCAAATTTTAGCTCAGTATCTGTAAAACTGACAAAGTTGTAGCCATTTTTTTGTTGGCTAAGATTGATGAGCTGCGGTGGACACCCTGAAATGAATTGGCTCTCAACATTAACCTGTTGTAAATATACTGTGTGCATACAATGGTTATGTGTACTTTTTGAGATTTTAGTTTTAAATTGTCCAGTGATTTATTAGATAATTTGCTGAAAGATAAAAAGTGTTGACTCCAACAGGTAATGCCAAATTGTGCAATATGTTTTTTGGATAAATACATATCCTTTCATTATCTGCTTACTCAAATAAGCCACTCTGAGGACACAAGAAGAGTTTTAACTGGTCTGTACTTGCAAGGGTAGACGATCACGATAAGGCTTTCACAGATGTACAAAAGTTACATGCTTAGATCCTCGTCAGTGAGAATCTGCACCGGACAGTGTGGCAGGAAGTGTTTTATAAGCTACGCTTATCAGACAAAGGTGAGGTCAAGGTGGCCTTGGAGTTATAAGGTGCTCCTCCATGTGTCTGCAGACTCCTCTCTGAGCAGATAAAAGACTCTGATCTCACACACTTCACACATGGTTTAACATTAATTTAACATTAGTTATTGATAAACATCCATAGCCTTTACCTAAATTCCCCTGAAAATGTTCACTTTAGTCAGTATTTGTAAAATTGACAGAATTATGAAATCCAAAGAGTTTCAAACAAAGAAAATACACTTGTTTTATAGATTCTGAAGGCATTTGCTTCTCATCCAAAAAGTCAAGGGCAGTACAAATAAATTAATGATGAAGTTAAATGATAAGTTGTTAGTTTTTGTGAAGATGATTCATATTACTCATATCAGTGACATTTATGAACCAAGTATTAATTAATGCAAGACTTTCACTGTTTTTGGGTAACTTGGTCATCATGGTTGAATGTTCAAAAATGTAAAAAAAAAAAAAAAAGTGATTTATTTCCTAGAAAAAAAAATGCTTTAGGTGAAAGTAAATATATACCATGTACACTGACTTTTCTTTACACCTTATGGTCTTCCATTGTTCATAAAAGCAACTTTATTTTCCCCAAACTGGTAATAATAAAAAGATAGATTATTTGATATAGTGGCTCGGTTGCCATCCCAGTTTTTTGTTGTTGTTTTTTTATGTTTTTCCCACAAATTTAGTTTGAACTAAAATGTGTATACTTTTAAAGTCTTCTTTTTTTTTGTTTTTTATGATATGCAGCAAAATATATATTTATCACTGATCAGAGATATCCTATTACTGAAAAGGCAGCCATAAAACACACAAGCAGCAGCAAACATTCTCTGCAGCTGGTTTTGATTTATTGTGAGAGTGTGCTCAAAGTATCCCTATTTTTGCCTGACGGAGCCTCTTTAGTGTGTCATCCTTCTCCATTTGTGCATTTTTTTTTAACCTCCGGCAAAACGACAACATTTAAAGAGATGAGAATTTAAGTGTCAAACAAGACAAAAATAAGCTCATCTATTCAGCTGGTTTGTATCGCATCACATCACACCTGTTTTCTCTCTCCATCTCGCGCAGCATTTGTGTTGCTCTCAATTCACGTCACTCATTTTTTTCCCCCTCCTGCTGGATCTGAACTGTTCTGTTGTGTTTGAATAGGAGCAGCTTCAACATCCCATAACACCATTAAATTTTAGAGTCAGGGTTTAGAGAGAGAAAAGGCACCCAGCAGGCATTAAACTGTTGAGAATGACACAGATAGAAACTTTCTCCTAATTCCCACAGCATAGGCAATAACACACATGCATTCCCCCTCACAGACCAGATAATATGAAGAGTTCCTGCAGGAAATGTCCTCTTTTCTTTAACAACAAGGGACAGAGAAAGTGTGTCACACAGCGTTAATGTTTTGGACTTTTGTTTGGTTACAGCACACACTTCAGTGTTTTCAGATGTTTGGGTGGATGTGAAGTTTTGTAACAGCAGGGTGTTTTGAACATATATATTTAACCTTCTTTATGAAGTCCTCATGCTGAAAACCCCCGTGAAATATTTACTGTTGAGTAGCTGAGAAGTAATTAAGGCAATTTATGGGATTTTTTTTCCTACCAAGTGTCAGTGTATGTTCGTGTGTTTTATTTGCAATTTAATATTAAATGCTTCCTTTTTATTACTGTATGGGTATGAGGATGTTTGTGTGGCAATATTTCGTGTATATGTATAACTAAGTATCATCAATTACAGTCAAAAGCAGCTACATAATTGAGGATTATATATACTAGATTTCCAGGCAGCCACCTTAAAGCCCATCTCATTCACTCAAGGCCCATTAGTCAGTGTGTGTTTCTGTGTGTGCATGCTCCTATGTCTACAGCACCTGGTGTCTGACAGTGCCTAACCTAATGGAAGTAAAGCACAGCTGTAAAACCACTGGCCTGTGCTCTATATCCGCCTGCACAAGTGTCTAGCTAACAGCTTTCACACCCCTGCTTTCATGCAAGATGTGCATACTCATTTATAGACATATACAGATTCAGACACACAAATACAGGGAGTCATATCACAGCTAATGGTTCAGTAGCTTTAAAAGAATAATTCAGAAAGAAATGGAGCACAGAGAGGGGGAAGTAAAAGGGGTTTCAGGGACAAGGTAATGTAAATCTCCAGACATAATCCACAGAAGGGAAAAGACCATCGGATGTAGCAGTTTGTCTTAAGCTGGAAGACATCGTGTGTACGTGTGTGTGCGTGTGTGTGTGTGTGTGTGTGTTAACACATATGGCTCTGATTATATTTGCTGAGCTGCTTACTGCAAAGCCAGAGGCTGACCAGCTCAGCTTGTGTGCTTTACAAAGTCGTGCAAAGGCCCAGAGCTTTAATCAAGGGTGAAGTTTGAGGGTAAAGAAGGAAAAGGAAAGATGGGTAAAAGATAGAAGGATGAAATAATTGAGGCCAAAAGGACACAAAGGATGAAAAGTGGAGGTTTGCAGATTGGGAAGGAAAAAAATGGAGAAGTGATACAAAATGTCAACGTAAAAATGATAAGATGGTTTTCAGAGACAGAGGCAGGGCAAAGGGAGTGGAGCATTATACTATCTTCCTAGAAATAAAAAGACAAGGTCTTTGCTCATTTCATACTAGTAGTGATTTAACTAACTCCTGCTGTCACACTGTATAGCTTGCCTGTTTAGGAGCTGTGATTGGGTTAAGGTTAAAAGGAAAACTGCCCAGATGTATTATGAACAAGCCATAACATTTAAACCACCTGCCAAAAGTTTCAAGGTTTGTCTTGTCTCACTAAAAAGTTTTGGCCCATCAAAATCTATCAAAAGACATCTGATAGTATCCTGTGTTCTTTGGCTACAAGGTGGCAGGTTGTTCTGTACAAAATTAAATAGTATATTTAGCAATAAAGCTACCCGACTCAGTCACCTAAATATTCACATGATTTAAAAGGAAGCATTTATTATGCTAGGCTATTTTACCACACAGCCCACAGTCCAGCTGGGAGACTCATACTCCTGTTGTTCCTCTTTTTGGGAATATACACTTGTGAGTATAGGCTTTCAGCCTCAAACACAACAAACTGTGCTGCTCCGTGTTTGAACACTGTAATTGTGATTTCTGCTAATGGACTTTCAGCTGAAACGCAACCTGAGATCACAGAATTCATTGTGCTTTTTTGTGGTGCTCAGCTAGCTGAGGGGCTAAACAAATGGCAGCACAACACTAATGCTGCTCACAAACAAGCAGATGTCCGGTGTTTGATGGTGTGGCTGGTGTCCAGGCTGTCTCCAGATCCATTCACTACAGCTTTCCTAACCAGCATCACCTGGCATTGTCCCCTGGTTTAATCAGAAAGTCAACCCGTTCTTTCACAAGCACAGATCTAATTTGAAAATTGTCAGCAGCTGGTCAAAAGCTGTGGCTGCTCTTTACACTGACCACTGTTCATCAGTCGTCCCACCTATGACCACTTTTTTTCAGGGTTAACAACTGTCTACTAGAAAACTTGGGAAAAATTCAATCCTGGTCATCTACTGTAGTCATCAGAGTTTAGCTCTTGCACAAGTCCCATATATTTGTATTTACTTATTTTTACTATGATGCAATAACTGTCTTCCTTTTTGAGGCTATATAATTCACCTGTTGGCAGGTGCAGTTAGGATTACACAAGAAAATAAATATTTCTATCAGTTAGTGACCTAAATATGTTTAATCAGTGTCCGTCCATCCATCCATTAACTTCCGCTTGTTCCGAAGTCGGGGTCGCAGGGAGGCCCAGACATCTCTTTCCACAGCCACCTCTTCTAGCTCTTCTGGGGAGAGCCCAAGGCATTCCCAAGCCAACTGAGAAATGTAGTCCCTCCAGCTTGTCCTGGATCTTCCCCAGGGTCTCCTCCCAGTCGGACATGCCTGAAGCACCTCCCTTGGGAGGCGCCCAGGGGGCATCCTTACCAGATGCCCAAGCCACCTCCACCTCAACTGGCTCCTCTCGATGTGGAGGAGCAGCGGTTCTACTTTGAGTCGCTCCCGGATAACTGAACTTCTCACCCTATCTGTAAGGGAGAGTCCAGCTACCCTTCAGAGGAAACTAATTTCAACCGCCAGTATCCACAGTCTCATTCTTTCGGTCCCTACCCAAAGCGCGTGACCATAGGTGAGGGTAGGAACGTAGACCGACCGGTAAACAGAGTTTTGCCTTACAGCTCAGCTCCCTCTTCACCTCAACGGACCGGTACAGACTCTGCAATACTGCATATGTTGCACCAATCCATCTGCCAATCTCATGCTCCATTCTTCCCTCACTCATGAAAAAAAATCCAGAGATACTTGAACTCCTCCACTTGAGGCAGAACCTCACCCTCGACCTGAAGAGAGCAATCCACCCTTTTTCGGTTGAGAACCATGTCCTCAGATTTGGAGGTTTACATATTTATTCAGTGTCAATACAACATTAGTAAAAAGGATTTTAAAGTAAGGCATATTAAATAATATTTTTGTTATATATTTAGTTAATTTAGAAATGGCTGTTTGCAGCTATTAAGGGCAAAGCATGCAAGAGGCATCAGAAATTACCCCCTCACTGTATCCAATGATCACCCTGGACAGTGGGCACCCACTGACACTATGCCACAATGTCTAGTGTTATTTCTCGATACTGTTCTAATATTACATGACTTCAAATCCCATCATTTTAAAAACATTGACAAAATTTATTGCTTCGAAAGTAGGTATTCTGGTGAGTGATCAAAATTAAGCCTATATTTTAAAGCTGCTCTATGTAATTATAACCACTTCAATTTGATGTGCCATATAGGCCGCTGATAGACACTGTACCATCTTATCAGAACTTTGGAACTTTCTGGAGTGTCCATAGACAACTACAAATTCATCAACTGTACCTCAGCAACACTGACTGAGCCACGCCCAGTCTAACTAAAGCAAATATCACATTTTAAAGTGGTTTGATCAAAATTAGTTTTTCCTCATCTTCAGTTTTTATTCTTGTCTTTCTTTGTTTCTGTGTCCTAGAATGATGCTTCGAGAGGAGGCACCAAGCGCACCCCCCAATAACATTGTGGCCAGTGGTCGCACAAACCAGTCCATTATGGTCCAGTGGCAGCCCCCTCCAGAATCAGAGCTTAACGGCATCCTCCGAGGATATGTGCTGAGGTAAACACACCCATATGTTTAACTTTCTTAAATTAATCTTTTTACCTTTTCAATAGTAGTGAGAATTCTTGTTTTTGGTTTGCTTTGTGGTTCATATTGTATTTTTACTTTTGCCTTGCTAGATTGTGTGAAAAGGAAAATTTGCATATATTTGTGACAGATGTATTCCTAGAAGTTTGGTGAAAGAAAGCTTTCTTACCACTTTAGATATGTAATGAAGCTTGTGATCTAATCAGCAAGCCAGCCAGCATCTATTCAGTCACAATAACACTATTTGCATAACAAAGTATGAAAAAAACTTCTAAAATAACTTCTTACAAAGAACCACACATCTGTAATTTATTCCAAAATGTGTGAGATGTAATATTACAACAAGGTATGTAAGGACAGAGGAAAACTTGGTATTTATATACCTTGAAAGTTACACCTTACCTTGATTTTTTTCTGATGTTTTAACAGGTCTTTCCTTTATTATAGAACAGGGTACTATTTTTTTCAGTTCAAACAGGTGGCTTCTTAAGTATATAGTAAAAAAATAGTATAATTACAATATTCAACAATAGACTTAATAAAGGAATAAGTAATAAATAATAATCATCAAATAATCAAGATTTTTCACAGTGAAAATAGATGTTTATTTTATATCAAACAGCTAATGGATTGTTGCTTTATTTCTAGATCTTTTGAAACAACATAAGGTTAAATAGTCATTGTGTGAGAAGCTCTGAACAAATTAATTGATCTACCAAACAAAATAAATGTTTTTAAGTAATTTAAGGAATAAAAAAAACAACTTTATTTTCTTCTTGCATAGGAAGAAAAAAATGTGGTTTTGGGAGGCGGTGAGGTCACTCGCTAAAACTTAAAAGCTGTTATTTTCTGGGATTTTTGATCAAACAAACAGGACATTTAAAATGTTTGCAAAACTCAGGAGATTTTTTTTGTAATTTATTATTTTCAAGACTTAGTTTGATTTAAAATAATTGTCTTTAAATGTTTTACACTCTGTAAACGTACACGGAACAATAATTAAGTCAACAGCTCATTGAAAACTCATTCCACTTAATAGGTTTTGCTCTGGCTCTTTACCAGAAATATCCACTGTTCTGTGCGTTTACATGCAGACGTGAGTGCTCTTTAGTGATGCTCTTTCTGTCCTTGGTCTGCTGTTCTTCTCTATAATGTCTACCTGAAGTATGAAACGATGTGTGTAATCAAACTGTCATCAGCTGCCTCACACAGATTTGCATATAATTGTAGTAGAAGTTATCAGGTCTTTATCCTCCTTCACTGATTCCACTTCAGAAATCAGTGAAAAACAGGAATGTGCACTTGTACGTCCACACCGTATCATTTCAGCTTTGAAGGACTGATCTCCCTCCTCCTCCTGCCCTCCCGTTTGGATTCGCTTTTCTTCTTGTTGTGTCAGCTGCCAGCTTCTCATTCTCCTTTTCCTATTTTCTCCATCTTTCTCGTTACCGTTAGCCCCACTCCTCTTCCTCCTCTGCCTCTTCATCTCCCAGTGTGTCATGCGGGAACTGAGGGGCAATGGGAGCTATCTTCACACCTCTGCAGAAAACGGCTGTCGGGCCTCAGTGCCTCCTTACTTTGTGTATCTGTGTTTGTGCGCCTATCTTATGTGTGTGTTTGTACAATGTGCATGTGTGACTGAGTGCTGAGTCAGCCAGAGAATCGTTGGAACATCCCGTTACAGCGGATAGGTGTCATATTAAAACGCTGACATGAGGATTATTACTCCATTCAACTCCATCAGATATGCACAGTACTAAAATGGTATTCCACCTCCCTGTCTAGCTGGCTCATATATTCTTTTAAGTAGGCACTTAAATCACATGTACTAGAGCTGAGGCCATAAAGGTGCACTATTTAGAGACAAAATTAAATAGTTCTGTCTTTAGAGATTTTAAAAAGGTCTTGACATCTGCAGAATATTCTTCCTTTTTTCTTCACAAATGTTCCTCTCACAGTGAAAAATAAATGTTTCATGGGCAGTCTGAGAATGAATAAAATGTCAGATTGCTTATTATTATTTTTTTAATGTTATGCTTAATAGGCTTGAGATGAAGTTTTGTAAGCAAATTAAAAAAAATGTATTTATGCATTTACCACCCATTTCTACTCATTTAAACATGTATCATCTATTGTATTCATTTTTTTTTGTAAACCTTAATTAATTAATTAATTGAGTTTTTCACTCATTGGTATACAGACTCTTCTCCACAGTCATAAAGCCAAAGTAAATGAATTAAATATTTACACATTGACTCAAACCCTAGCTTCATCCATCCATCCATCCATTGTCTTTTACCCGCTTCTTCCTTTTTGGGTCATGGGGTCACTGGTGCCCATGTCCAGATATCACTGTGCGAGAGGTGGGGGACACCCTGGAATGGTCTCCAGTCCATCACAGGGACACATAGAGACAAAC